GGGGGGGGGGGGGGGGGGGGGGGCAGACTGCCCCTCCCGATCGAAACGAAGCGGCGCACGACGAAGGAAATCGGATTACCAAACCAGGAAATCGGATTCGGAACTTGAAACTTTGCTCTCACCCGATAAAACAGAAGTACCGAACGCGACAACCACTCTTCCCCGAAAACGCCTCTCTTCTCCCTCGGCGAAACAAATCGATCGAGTTGCCGTTGAATAAAACGAAACAGCCGACACGTGAGGGCCTCTTGTAACAGCCACTGCCATCTAGCGGGAGCGAGGGGCCCTGCCGCGACCGGGTGATCCATAAGTACCTACCCCGACCGTTTTATTTAAAATACTTGAAGTACCACCGTGCCCTTCTTGCAGTAAAGGCAAGCATAGAAATAGATACTCGTAGCAGGCCGAAGCGGATCACCGGTCCTTCACGATCGCCTGTAGAACGGAAAACGACATTTTCACGTCTGGGTGATTTTTTTGTTGCCAACCTCGTACACCACGGGACCGTGCACACACGAAGTCTGAAGGCCGGGCGCCGATGAGAGGTCGGAAGATAAAGGCGCGAGCAGACGACGGGGGAAGGCATTGTCCTCGCTCGAGGGCAGATAGCATGACGTCACGACAGGTCTCCTCGCCCCGCACGGCCGAGCGAGAGAGAGAGAGAGAGGGAGCGAGCGAGGGATTTCAATGCGCACGCCACCTATCCTCCCGTGTCCTCCACCTTTCCGTGTCCTCCAGTCCTCCGGTCCTCCACCTGCCTCCAATCGCTCAGTTCGGCATGTGACACCGCGGCTCGTGCGACCATGCGGGTGTTCGCTCTCTTGTGCCTCGCCCTGGCGGCGGCGGAAGCGGGCCTTCCCATGGAGAGTCGCTGCGGCGACACCCTCTGCGACAAAGTGCAGTACTGCTCGGACTTCGACCGGCAGTGCAGGAACTGCTCGGACGTCTGCCTCGAGTCCTCGCACAACTACGAGCAGCGGACGTGCGAGTCCAAGTGCCAGTACTACATCCACGACGTTCGGTACATGAACCTTCGATCCACCGAAAACAGTAAGTGCGACGAACGAGCTCGCGATCCGGCGGAAGAGATAACTCAACAAAAGCAGGCGTGGTTATCATTAAAAATGTAAATAAAATAGTATTAAAAAAAAAATCCTAAACAAAAAGGAAGAAAACAAGGCGCAATACGCCATGTTCATTTGAATCGGATGAATGAAAGTCGACCTCGAATGCCCCCACTTGAATGCCCCCCCCCCCCACATGGGAGAGGAGTTCCGAGAATTGCATCGTGGGACGCGGATCTATACCCGAGAGCCATGAGGTAGCGAGAGGCGAGAGGGTTCACGTGTCTGGGGGTTTGATCGATGACGACGTCCCCGGCCGACGTCCCGGCCGACATCCCCGGTCGACGTCACCGAATGGGAAGCTCATCATCCGAGCCTCATCGCGATCTCGAGACGATCTCGACCGACGTAAACACTTACCTGCGAACTGCCGATCGCAGGAATCATGCAGCATGCATGAGAGGGGATGAGTCATCGGAGGGGGAAAACGTGGAATGCCCATCTTTTCCTCCTTTTTCCGTGTTCGAGGGAGCCTGGCAGGTGCCCCTCATTGCCCCTCGTCGCCCCTCGCCTGGGGGCTGCTCGCCTCGAGCGTTCCCTTCCTCGTTCTCGGTTCGGACCAGACGACCTTCGCGAGGGATTCCGGCCTCTCGGAGAAGGTAAACAGCATTTGCACGGAATTTCCAGGAATCGCGTCCGCTCGGATGGCCACTTCTGTGCCGACGAGAATGGGAAAAGCCGGGACGAATCGACTCCCGCTTCCTGGGAAACGGGAATCTCCGGAGATTCCGGAATCCCTCCGAGGACTTCCTCCCCCGAGATCCTCCGGACCCCCGACTTCCTCCGGCACGGAAGGACCATCCCCGTTTATCCCCGCTTATCCCCGCTTCCGCATCCGGCCGACAGACCAAACCGCCCACGCAACCGACCCCCGTCGACGTACCGATAAGTACCGAGTTCACATTCCACCTCCTCCTTATCGCAGTACACTCCGACCCCTCCCATCCGAAATCCGGTGGAATTTCGGAACGGACGAAAAAGTTGCATCCGTTTCGGTCCGGTAATCCCGGATGTCCGGACAGGCGGGCTCGGATTCTGACGACCCAACTAGAAAAAAAAAAAATTAAAAAAAAAACCGGACCTGACTCCGACGAATCGAATTCACTCCACCCAGAAAAAGTACCTTTTACAGTACAGAAAAAGTACAGAAAAAAAAAATGTGGAAGCACTCGAAAAGGTCCAAGCCATCTAATTCACTCCCCGCGCAGCACTGAACCGATCCGAACGAGGAACGCTCACCTGAATTTACTTTGATTTATTTTGATTTTTGTCATTTGAAATTATCCCATTCGATGGCAACGGCAACCGCCGATCGATTCGCCAAAATGAGACAAATCACATCGGTTTTCTCAAACAAATTACGTGACGGTCGCGACGACCGACTTGGAAATTTCTCCGGAACGCTTAACGGACGCTGCAGCATAGGAAAATGACCGCTTTCGGGGATTTTCTCATCCGCAATTAAAATTAATAAATTGATTAATACGACTTTACGGTGGCCTTGGTCCTAAAGTGGTACAATCAATCCCTGATCGACAGCATCAATCGATCGACAGCATCAATCGATCGACAGCATCAATCGATCGACAGCATCAATCATATCTCAACTGGACCGTCGTTTGTAATTTTTTGTTTCCGCTCGCAGACGACGCCATTTCGCTCTCACCGCAGATATGACGTCACACTCTGATTTATGGGATGGAGGTGCGGCATGGGAGGCAGCCTCCCCCGAGAGAGATTCGCGGGAATCTCCACGTCGAGTGGGATCGTGCGTGCGAGTCACGCGCGATGCCCTGGAGGATTTCATTCACGAACCTCCTTCCTTCCACTCGAGGGGGTTCCGAGAACCTTCGGCGGCCCCCGTGTAATGGGGCCGTGTGTCCCCGCGTAATGGGGCCGTCTGCCTCGGGGCGGGTCCGCCTCCGACCGGCCTTTCACCACCGATTCCGAGAAAAACGGACCCCGCGGTTCCGCTTCCCCCTCGTCTATCAGCTGATCGCAAATGTCGAAATCCGAGTCTATTCGCTCTCGTTCCCGCAGATCACCCGGACTTGGCGCAGAAGGTGGACCTGATCGTGGCGCTTCTGGTGGTGGTGGCCGTCCTGCAGACGATCATGATCCTCGCGGGTTTCGCGTACGTGCTGAAGGCGAGGGTCCCGCGCTGGAAGACGAAGCTGCTTCACAGCATCGTGAAGGGGAAGACGGTGAAGGTGAGGGCGAGGAACGGTGAGAAGGTCGAGAGGGATCGCTCGAGGAACGGGAATTCGGCGTCTCGGTGCCCGGAGCCCTAGATGCCATTCGTAGATGCCATTCGAATCCGGTTTTCCTTCTGCGCGTCACGACGAGGATGCTCTCGATCTCTTCCGGTCGTGAGAATCGAGGTTAGGTTATAGAATCGAATGACCGGCGTGGATCCTCGGTTCCTCGAAGTCACTCGCGAGAGCCACGCCGAATTCCCCCTCGAGCGACAGACCTCTCCTCGAACGAATAGCCGAGACTGAACGAACGACCTCTCTAGGAACACGGCGGAAGCAACGGATACTTCGGTAACGTCTCGATGAAGCGCGTGGCATCGATGGAAGACCCGAGCGGACTGAGCATCGTGAACGTCCGGGCCCGGGAGGCAGAGGCGACTCGTCGCTACCCGTGCGAGGAGGCCTGCCCGGCCGGCTGCTACGACAACGCGGGGATGTCCCAGGTCTCCCCGTCCTTCTCGGGCTCGTCCAACCGCTGGGCCCAGCAGTCCTACGCGAGGACCACCACGACCTCCCTCAACACCTTCCCCGGGTCGTGAACTCCCTCGGTCCGCCCTTCGCGGCCTCGCGATCCGCTGGATTCTTTCGACGTCGGCGGCGCTCGTCCCCGCCGTCCGGGTTTTTTTCGCGTGCTGTGATGACGTTTTCGTCCCCATCGACAATCAGTGGGAAATTTTGATATTTTTCTTGGAGGCTTTTACGAGCGGTTCGAGACGGAGAGACATTTTTATCGATTATCGTTGGTAGTCCCGAGATTATTCCTGGTTGTGAACCTGTCGTTCAAAGACGTTAAGTAGCTCAGGGTGGCTCAAGTTGTTTTCGAATTTCGATCCCGATCGAATTCGTGTCTGCTCGATGCACTGCGTCCTATTGTGATCCATTTGGGAGTGCTTCTCCCGATGAGGGGGATTTTTTTGTCTGTCCCGAATTTTATGACGATTTGCGTGTTTCCGTCCTTTCGTGTCTTTCGCAGATGTTGCAATAGATTGTCGATTCGCAGTTCCTACGTGAAGACGGAATAAAATGTGATTTTGTGAGAACTCAAAGGGAGCCGATTTCACTCCTCCACGTTGCGTCGCCCTGGTGCTAATATCGGCTTTACAGCCGAGAAAAATTGTGAAAAAATAGGCAGAAAAATGCTGCGAGAAATTGGAGAAGCGAAAGATTGTGTCAAGACGTGGTTTTAGGGTCGGATGGACGCAAATTCCGAGTCCGTTACGTTACGAAATACCGCGACAAACGACGATGCAATGTGCAATGCAGCCGTCCAAAACCGAGGCGCACGGAACGGGAAGCCGGAAAGCCTCGAACGATCAACTCCAACATCTCCAAAGCGGCAATCGTTACGCTGGAATCGGAAAGCCGCTGGAATCGGAAAGCCGCTGGAATCGGAAAGCCGCTGGAATCGGAAAGCCGCTGGAATCGGAAAGTCGCTGGAATCAGAAAACCGCTGGAAACAGAGCCGTCGACGTCGGACAGGCAGAAAGGCTCCACCGAGCATTCACCTTTCCTTCATCGCAATTCCCAGGGATGGAAACTTTCCCAGAAATGCAATCCCGCCGGGAACGAAGGGATGCAGCTGCAGATGAAATCTCCTCGGCCTCGCTATATCGACTCGATTCCATTCGCCTCCAGCTGTTGCATGTCGAGCAAATGAGAATCCTTCGATCGGGGAGAAGGTGTACCTTCGTTTCGCATGCAGATCCTAGGGGCATGCAGCAGTCGCATGCAGATCCCAGGGGCATGCAGCAGTGGCGGAAACAGAAATTTTTCATATGGGGGTTCCCGAGTTCCAACCCTCCCCCCCCCTTCACCTACTCTCCGTCCTATCGCCTATTTCATATTTCATCTGAGGTGAAAACTTGGATATCTATTTCACAGGCCTCAATAAATATCAATGTAAGTACTTTCAAAAAGTAAAAATAAAGTGCGAACCTGGCCATATGGAGGGCGACCGCCCCCAGCCCCCCCCCCCCCCCCCCTGGATCCGCCACTGGAATGCAGATCCCGTCGCAGCAAGTTATGCAAGAGGCGTTCGCAGACTGAAGCCGAGGATCGGTTCGTTCCGTATTTTGAGTGAACGTGACGGAGGATCGCAGCGTTCGTGTTGTCATTTAGAATTCTCGCTGCAATATTTACACGGCAAACGCGGTCGTTCGACGTGACGGCGTGCACGCGGCTGCGTGAAAAAACACCATCCACAGTGGTTGCCGCGACCGTGGGGTCGCCACGAAACGGCATCGTCGCAGAAGTCGCGCCAGAAGGCACGCGGCCATCCTCGGCATGCGATGAGGGAACGCGGCGCGGGGAGGGAACGCGGGGCGATGAGGGAACGCGGCGCGGGGAGGGAACGCGGGGCGATGAGGGAACGCGGGGCGGGGAGGAAATGCGGGACCATCTTTTGATCGCATCTGCACGAGGCGAAGCGTGCAGGCGCGTAATGCGTCTCGGCAGGTGCGTGTGCCAGGAATGCATGTGCGCGTGCGGGGGGCGAATGTGATATGAAAATCGCTTCGTGGAAGCCATTTCAGAGTTGGAAAAAAATGGTACAGCCGCTCATCAAGTGCCTCGTAGCACTTTCCCTTGGAAATTGCCACCCTTGGTATTTCCGGCGATCCGAAAAAAAAAACAATGCGGTTATCCTTGTGCTTTTGTTTTCGTTCACTCGACACAAAGACCGACGGCAAAACCTGTTCGGGACCGATTTCGACGCACCAAGTGCACCGATGGATTCATTTCACGATAACTATTTTTTTTTCTTCTTCTGCGACAGGTTCTGAAAATGATAAGTATTCATCCGAAACGCATAAGATCTACCTTGTGGTTCTCGCGTCAAGGCCAACAGGACGACGACGCCTCACCACGGTACCACGAAAGGAACACAGAATGCGACGGTGGAGACATCCAACGCCAAATGGAGGAAAATTCGAATGAAAGAGCATCCAACGGGAGAACATCCAACGGGAGAACATCCAACGGGAGAGCATCCAACGGGAGAACATCTAGAGGGAGGGATGCGTCCTCACTACACGGATAATAAGTTCCTGTTGCTGGGGAATGGATGTCGCCGCAAACGTCGATGGATGTGCGAGTCAAGGGGGGAATCGAGAAAAAATTCGGTGCAATATGCATTCGTCTGCATAAACTTCCGCGGCGAAGAGTTAGAAATACCTTCAACTTTTCAGACTGCTGGTTTCGTTTTTATTGCAAAACGTTCTCGAAGCCAAGACTTCGAGGCTTCGAGGATCCGTCAACCGAGGAATCCCGACCCGGTCGGCTCCCATAGTGTTGCCTGCTTCCAAATTTTCTTTTCTGGCAAAAAAAAAATTGAATCTGGAAAAGAAGTCCTCATCGTTCCAGCTGCAATTCTGATTCACTCGAGGAGGCAATCCCTCACATGCATTCGCAACGCAGCAAAGCGCTTCCTCAAACTCAGTTTTTTTAATTTAATTTATTACGATACGATGAAATCTCCGGCCGATATCTAACCCCCCCCATCTTCCCCCCCTCCTTCCCCCCCACCTTCCCCCACATCCACGAGATGGCGGATTCAAATGGTTCTCTTTCGACCTGTCCCAGCCTCACCGATCCTTCTCCGCTGGATTTCTTTCCTGGCTTCAACGAGAATGACACGATTTCACTTTCTCTTTACTTTCCTCTCTACTTTCTACCTCTTAAAAAAAAAAAATCAGACATCAGGGACTCGTTCCCTCTCCTCGGACGACAACTGGCCGACTCCTCGGAATCGAATCGCTCATGTTTTGAGAGCCAAAATGTAGGCGCCCGAGCAACTCTTTATAATTAATAAACTAATTGGAGCTTTTACTTCAGTCGATTCATATTTTTTTTAGCATCAATACTCTGGATCTCTTCGTTTCCAAGATCCGCGAAGAACTGGAACAATTAACTTTTTTAAAACCTTTATTTACCTATTTATTTATTTATTTTGCATATTTCTTTTTTTTTAAGTTTTTAAGGCAACCTTGAAAATTGTTTCCCACACTTTCCACCCGTCGCATTCAGAGTTGCACCGAAAAAAAAACTTTCAATTAAGGCGAAGTCAATTGACCGACGAGACGTTCCCAGGATTCTTTGAGGATCTAAGGTTGCGACTGCAGGTGTGACTGAAGGCGTGACTGCAGGAGGGAAGGATGATCCCCATCGACGACTCGACAAAAAACATGACCACTGCCGACACACGGCAATTGTTGTGTACGAGTTGTACGCACCATGTTCTTGAATATACAGTAAAGTAAATATAAGTAAATAAATATAAATAAAGGCAACCTCGCTTTCAACAATATGAGGATTTTTTCTTGGTCCTTTCGTCGTGACCAAATTCGATTATAGCCTTTCGGCAAGTATTCATTTTTCTTTCTCACGGTCCTGGCTGATGTTTCCAACGACCTGGCGTTACGTTACGTTTCGTTACATCTCGTGCGAGTTGGCCTCAGGGTGTTGAGTGGGTGCAAGAAGTGGACTCAGGTGGACTCCGGAATTTTTTTTTTTTCCTGGACCCGGCGAGTCTGAAGTATTTCAATTTCAGTCCACGATATCTCAGAGATATCTCGTGCATCTCACTCTCATAGACATCTCAGAAGATATTTCACTCCTCGACCGCCAGGCGAGAGCGACACGAGACATTCAGCGAGAGCAACCACATGAGGCACTCAGTGAGAGCAACCACATCGAATGACTTGGAATCTTGATTTCCATCGCGAAACATGAGAAAGCGAAATGCGACGGGGCTGCCGGACTCAAAAGAAAAAGCGTTTAAGGGAAGCGAATTGCGTTTTGCCTCTTCGCCCACTCCTTAATCTCATTTCCGGCGTTTTGCACCGCGATGCAATGGAAAGCTGGAATCTCCTCAACGAATTCGATTACAGTCGCACAAAATACCAAATTAAATATGTACATAAACATATGTCCGTAAACATGCTACATTTTGGACACAGTCTCGAAACCACCCGCATAACCCGTTCGCCGAGGCGAAGTTGTAAGCAAAATTCGCACGGGTGTCTTCATCGTGGAGTGGAATCAACAGACCAGGGTTCCGATTTGTAGCCGACACGGCTTTATATCGCCAGTCGGGACGACATGGCCACGAACGACGCGACGTGGCAGCGTGCGTGACTGCGCTCAGGCGACTCGACTGGAGTTTCATCAAGAACACTCGCGTCTGACGGTACGCAGGATTCACCACAAGTTTCGTTCCGCAGATTCCGTCGCCGACGTAATGTTTCATCTGTGTGCATGTTGTATCCCGTGTGACTGTTTTTGAAACCGAGTCCAAAATGTAACATGTTTTCCGGACATATGATTCGGATTGCAGCAAAACTATTACATTTCCCAGTGTGTTGGCTCCTCTCTTTGCCAATCACTCCTTTATCGAGAGCCTAGGGGCTGTTATAATGTTCCACTATCCCTGTACAGTGTCCTAGACTCAAGGGATCCATGGTCAATAACTTGGCAGTATTTTATCTTCAATCTGAAACGAAAATTGAAATTATTATTTAAACAGTTTCTCTTTAAATCAACATTCTCATAGTCTCAAGATAAACGGGACACCCCATATATGTACTGTATAATGAAATGAGATGTTGAGGGAATCGAGCATGCCGCCGGGCTTCCGTTCCGAGAAGACCCTTTTACCTTTTCTCTTCTCGTCTAACTCGAATCAATGCACAACATGAGCCGGATGCAATAAATCTCTCGCTGAGGCTGAGATATGCGTGGAATCATGCTGGGGTTTTCCACCGTCTTTTCTGTTCTGGTGGGACTAAAAAACGCCTCCCGTCGCGTAAAAACGGGAGGCGGAGATGCAATGTCAAATCCCACAAATTTGCACGAAAATATCGATAATTGGATAATTGACTTCCGCTTCCATTTGCAACGATCGGCGCCAGCCGATCGAACCAGCTGATGGCCAAATTGCATCCGTACAACCGGAGAAAAAACATTCTCCTAATTCCAACTCAGTCCTTACAAACTCTTCCCAACTTTCGCCAACTGGGAAAAAAAAATTTTCTCACCCTCTTTTCACATGATCAACTCTGACCATGAATAGATCCTATGCCTTTCAACCTTTTCGTGCTTTGTATTATGCCAGCATGAATAAATGTTTATGTAATAGAAGAAGCGCGTCTGGAACCACCTGGTACGACCGTGAGATACCCGTCGCATTTCACTTTCCTCATATCTAATTTGCCTTTTTATTTTTCAAATCCAACAACCAGCACAACAACGCAGTTGAAATTCCTTGTCGCACTTGGCTCACCAAAAGGCATATCTAACTCGGAAAGCCCACAAATTTGAGGGGAAAATATAAAAAGTGCCACCTGTAAAAAATCAGGTTCACACCTCGAACCTCAAGAAATGAAAAACTTGAAATCTTTTGGGAAATTTCTGACAGTATCTGTGAACCGAAAAGTACCGAAAAAGTACGACAGAACAGACGAACCTATGAAAATCCCGACTCTTTCTATTTCCTTTCAAAGCCTTTCGCTCGATAACGTCGAATTAACCCTGCAATTTCTCATCGACCTTTCAATTCGCATCGCTGGAAGGATTTGGAATTTGGATTTGGATGGATTTAAAACGGTTCCTTCTTTATTATAGGCAAGTCGGCAGGATGTCACTCAAGCTTAATACAAAAGGGAAAATTGGATTCGAGCGGGTTCAAAAGATATCGTGAGGCTCATCCCATTTCCCATCGGATTTCCGTTCGACGGGGAACAAAATCCTCTGCATTGGTTATGGGTCACCGGCCGTCGTCACATGCGACACGTCACGTGCGACATCTGTCACATGCGACATCCACGTCGTAGACATCTCTCATGTTTTTGTTTTCGCAACACTGATGGGGGAAATCCCACGGAATTCTCCTGAACCCTCGATGCATAGGGAAAAGTTCCTTGGAAAGTCCGACAAGAGCACCAGAGTAAACATTTGATCCTAATATTCATGTCCTTCCTGCCGCATCTGAGACTTCCAAATCTATCGGGATCTTCCGATGCATCTCTTCCAAGAAGAGAGGAAATGCATGGGGCGTGAGTCAAGCGTTCATTTTTTGGTGGCAGATCCCGAGCCCGATTTTCGAAACGCACCAAAAAAACACGAAGAATAGGAGTTGATCGAGCATGTATACTTCCCAAGAATTGTAGCGGGCTGTGTGCAGTCGAAGGCCGTCCGTGACGCTGTTATGATGGGAGATGTGGTCGATCTGATCCACGATGTTCTGTAGGGAGAAAGGGGAGATATCATGCATGAGGGAGGAGACGTTTTTCAACCGCTTTTCCATTTCACGGTCGTTGAAGATATCTGTGATGGTTTCGGTGAGGATGTTGGCATCCACGTTCATCTTGTTCAACGTGTGCCCGAGTCCCCGCCTTCGCAGAAGCGCACACATCTCAAAATGGTCGCCGAACAGGGGAATCCCGACGACTGGCACTCCATTATATAGGGACTCCATCACGCTCCCTCCTCCACACTGACTGATGAACACACGAGTCTTGGGATGTCCCAAGACGTCCATCATGGAGAGCCACGGCTCAACTCTCATGTTTCCTGGAAGTTCTGCCGGTTGACCAGGGAAACTCATCAGGACTTTGACACCTTGATCAGAAAACTTCCTTGCCATACCCATGATCCCATTCCAGAGCCTATCTGGGAAAATTCCAGGTTTTGTGTAGGAATATCCGAAAGAGATTATCACGACACTCTTGGCCTCATCCATGAACGTTTGGAGATCCGTCTCGAGAGGTTTTGGAGGACGACACATATAGCAGCCGACCAAAGAAGAATCATCGGGGAATTGTTTCGTCTCGTCCACAAAATAATCGTGGAGGATGAATGTGTGCTCGCTGTTCTCGACTAATTGTGCCATCGAAGGGGAGTCTGGAATGCGTCTCCAAATATGGATAGAACTCATCCAATTATACAAGGCCGTTCCGAGTCTGGATACGATGAAAGCAGCGAGATTGAACGCCCTTTCGAACACGTTGCTGGGTTCGCTTAGTCTAGACAGCAGGACGCCAACTGTGGCTGGATTTTGAGGAAACACAGTTTGGTCGAATCCCTTGGATAAAATCACGCTGACATACGGAATGTTAAGACGATGCATGAGGGCATAGATGCATCCGTTGCTCGTGTAATCCACGATGGCCAGGTCGAATTTCTCTCGAGAGATCCGTTCGATCACGTTCGGATCGTCCAGGACGGCTCGGCACATGAATTCCGGCGTTTGGAGGAAGAGAAGGAGACTGTTGTAAATATCCAGCTTGGATTCGCTCCATATTGCAGCGTAGGGATAGATGAATTTGCCGGTCTCGTCGGCTAACAACAGGCTGCCGTCGTCATTTTGTCCACGGACTCTCATGTAACTTTGCAGGTTCGTCGTGTTGACTTTGTCGGAGTCGTAGGCGAGAAAAGTGACATTGTGTCCTTTTGCTTTCAGGACCTTCGAGATCGTCCGAGCCACGATCATGTGAGCCCCTGAAACAATCGAATTTTCCACGGAGATTTGAGGATCGGATGGAACTTTTCCGCAAGAGATGCGAGAGAAACGACTAATCACATGCTAACGAGGATTAATTGCACATACAGCTCTTCATGAAATATTTTAGATCAGCGCCAGTGTCTCATACATAATTCACCTTGATTAAACGAGGTTAACGGCAGTAATTAACTGTCATCCCCATTGACCCTATCTCGCGTCCCCCCCCCCTCCCCCCTGCATCCATCGACCGACATCCCCTCAACCCAGCTTCAACCCAGCCTCATCCCCTCTCACAACTCAGAGAATCAAAAGAAAACTCGATCTCACCGCCATGGACCATGACCGCCCAGAGGATCTTCTTCCCCTCGCGACTCTCCAACGCATTGCAGATCGCGAACTGAAGGCAGAGGCACACCGCCAACTTCATCTCGGACGGACTCGACTCCCGGCTCTTCCGCTAATGACGGATTTCCTCGGGGAGAAAGCGATCGCGGAGTCACCTTGTTAATGTTAAGTCACGCTTCGGTCGGCAAAAAATCGGCCCGCTTCGTCGGCGTCGTTCGAACGGAATTGCTTCGGATTTGCTGATGCATTCCAGAATGATAGAGGAATTTAAATATCTTCAATATCGACATCGTCGGTCGTTTCGCTTGAGAACTTCTCAACTCTATTGGGCTTGAGCTTTAAGTCAGATGTTGCCGATTTCATGTGTCTCGTTCTCTCCATCAGTTGTTTTACAGGCGTGGTCAAAATTGTAAGCATCGAAATTGCTATGGGACCAGGGGTAAGATAGGCGTATCGTTTAGGTAACTCTGTACTCTCAGCGGTGTTAGCTTGGATTTCTTGGCATATAAACACCGAAAGTTCGAAGTGTTTCTGAAAGTATTCAATTACTTTGGATATTTTAAAGGAGTAAACGGCACGTCTCGTAATTCATAATTGGAGGGGGGCTCTCACTTTGCTGCCTGAGCATCAGAAATAGGAAAATTTGAACTCTTGAAATCATTTTCGAGGCAGGGTTTAAAAATGGCAGAATTATCGTTTAAGGCATTTCGAAGCTATATCTGAACAACTGAGTTAAACTATGAGTTGAGAGTCAGGCATGCAACGAACGAGATCATCGATTGACGTTCGGTCCTGCTCAATATGTACGCTAATTAGCAGAATTATCTTCATTTCATCCGTTTTCATCCGGGAGCAAGATAAATGGGACGAAATTGGGTCATCGCGTGTTTTGTCATCTCCGTGCGGGACGGTGCAGGGCCTCGATGGCCTTCACGACGGAAAAATTTTTATGCATTCTCCGGCAAATTTCCTGCTTTCCACTTTTTCTTCAGTCGAGAATTCATTTTTGAGTCGGTCTTTCGGCAGCGCCTGGAGCAATAGAGACGTGAATCAATTACATAAATCACTTACTTAAATAAATATTCCTTCTTTATTCTGTCTGAGTTGAGGCCTTCCATAGGTCGAGGCTTTCACCCGTCTTCGCATGCCGGAAGTCTCAATTTTCCCGAGAACTTCGCTGTCTCGAGGTCTTCAAAAGACCACGTTTCCGTTCGTGAGACGAAAGAAACCGATTCCATGAATAATTAGTCCTCAAGTGTTCCACCTCAACGATATCCATTTCGTGACGGCTTCTGTCTCGCCGTCGTGAATCTTTTAGCTTGATAGGAAAAACGGAACAGCCCTTTCTTTTTCTTTAAATAGTTTCACATATTCTTTTAAACTCAGTATCTTGTCGAGGACTCTCGAGGCTATCATTCTTGCAGGTGGGAAACGGCTATTGCGGGTTTTCATTAAATTTTAGCCTCATTTCCTTCAAGATCGTTTCATTCAGATAGTCCTCGCCTGCAGAAGGCAACAATAATATGAAGATTCGTTAGGGCGGTAAAGACGAGTCCGCTTTTCGATGGCTCCAAATCGACGAAAGAGAGACCACGCGAAGGATGCGATAGTGATTTCCTTTGGGCATTCCTTCACCAAACCTGGAGTATTCCCCGACAGGCTCTGGAATGAGGTCCTTAGCACGGCGAGAAAGTATTCCGATCACGATGCGAAATTGCCGATGCGTTTCCCCGGGGAAAGGGAGGGACCTACAAGGGAACATGGGATTTGAGCCGTGGCTCTCCATGATGGACGTCTTGGGACATCCCAAGACTCGGGTGTTCATCAGTCGATGTGGAGGAGGGAGCGTGATGGAATCCCTCTACAACGGAGTGCCTGTCGGGATTCCCCGGCGACCATTTCGAGATGTGTGCGCTTCTGCGAAGGCAGGGACTCGGGCACACGTTGAACAAGATTAACGTGGATTCCCAGATCCTCACAGAAACCATCGACCTCACTGAAACCTTCAACGACTGTGAAATGGAAAATCGATTGAAAAAGTCTCTTCCTTCATGAAGGGCATCTTCACTATTTCCCTGCAGAAAATCGCGGACAGGAACGACCACATAGCCCATCATTACAACCACACAGATGCCATTCGGCTGCATGGAGCCTGCTACAGCGCTTGAGGACAACACATCTTGAATTTACATCGAAATTTGTGTTCAGGCTCCATCAGCAAAAATCGCAAGCATGATAATGTACTCTCTCTCTCCTGGTTCTTTGCATTTCCCAGGTTCCGAGAAGAGGTATCGCATGAAATCCTGATAGAGATGGAAGTCTCGATCCGATGAAAAAAGGCATGAATATAACATGCAAAGGGGATAAAGGGAAGACCCGAGCGGGGCTTTCCGAGAAGCTTTCATTATGCATTGAACCCTCGACATCCGCGTTTTAGAGGAGGGGCGAGAAATCCAATTGTATGATGGTGACCCCGGATGGACGAGGACCCCGAGTCGTGGAAACCTCGTGTACCTTTATGAACTCTTAAAGGAGAAAGGAAAAAAGAAAGTTTCGAAGGAATCGAGAGGATCGGAGTCGCTCGGGATGGGCTTCAATGCGTGTGCATGGGAAGATCACGAGATTTCTGGATAAATTGAAGGCTCAAGGGATCCAAGGTAAGTGCATCAACTGGATTAGCGACTGGTTGTCGGAAAAAAAGGGAAAGGGAATCGTAAACGGGGATGTGACTTCGTTTGTCAGGGTCGTGAGTGGGGTCCGACTGGGCTCCGTCTCTTGGGACCGCTCCGAGTTCATATAAATAATTTAGATTGAGGTCCCGTGAGTAAAATCGGTGAATTTACCGATGACATGAAAATTGATTTCTTCATCGCGGGGGAAGTGGAACGTTTCATGGAGTCTGATACCGAAGAGAGACTCGTGGAGGCGAACGGAGACGATTCAGGCGATATAATGGACGAGGGACTCTAATGCCAAGAGCAAGGCAATAGAATTAAACCCCATTTAAGAGACCCTGTTTGTAGAAACGCGTTCAATTTTGGGTGCAAATAGTAATATAATAACCCTGGAGCGGGCTCAGAGATTAAAATGATAAGGGAACTCAGAGGACTTACGAACGATCTCAGGGGCGCATTCAACGCCATATCGATGACGTGCTCGGTCGATTTTTCAAACTTCCGCCACCTGAACGAGGGGGAACCGGCTCGCATTGAATAAGCCGCAGATGAGAATCCGGTGACGGAATGGCATTTTTTAATCATTTGGTGGTGAATGCGGGGAGCGAGATGAGTGAGAAATCCCTTCCGTAGATACAAAGAGAGATGACATATTTGACACCTAAATAACCCAGATGCCAAGAATTTCGAGACCTATCTTGGAACTAGGGGGATAAGACATTCCCAAATAAATATTGTAGCGAATTCCATCTCGCAAACGGTGCACGGCAGCGGATATGACATCGGAGAGGAATCTCCTTCCAACCGGAAATATTTTCCAATGAAACCATGCGAAATCCTGTCACTCAGCCACGATTCATTCTGAAATGTATGAATTCTCTCCGTCATGCAGGATCGAGGACGCATGGAACGAATACGGCAGTATGACGCAACGGAAAACGCATAGCAGCACGCACGAGAAATACACGTATCCCCCTCAATAATACGAAAATATCGACACAACTCACTTTTCACAAATGCTTTTCACGAACGAATTCTATCTCGGTCAAATTGAACAGACGACTCCCCTTCGCTGCGGATGCGGGAAGTCATCCGAGAGAAAAATGAGAAAATTTTTCCATCAAGTGAGCAGAAAAGAATTCGAGGCACTCGAAGAGATGAGCCAGGATCGCAGTTCGTCAGACACGAGATCAGAAATGCCTCGAAAGTTAGTAGAGAGAACACAGCATTTTTGCAGTAAGGCTCTTCACTTAGTTATTTTTCAAATGTGCAGAGTCGAAGCCAAGAGAGAAACAGATTTCACATTACAAATTGTATTAAATATTTTGTAATTGATAAGGGTACAAATAATGCATTGAATGCATTCAAGCATATGCTAAAGCACGAAAAACTTATCCACCTGAAGTGGCTTCTTGGACATTGGTATCGGCATTCTAAAGCAAAATGATGAGAACTATGGGTTGCGTGTCGCGCTGCCGAAGCATCAAAGGGGGCAGGAGGAGGAGAGAGGGAGGAAGGAGGAGGGAGGGAGGGAGAGAGAGAGGGGGGAGAGAGGGAGGGAGGGAGGGGGGGGGGGGGGGGGAGGATAATTGCATCTCTTCGATCGAGCGATCGAGAGAACGTTTCGGGGAGGAGAGCGTTCTCTAGCGAGAGAACGAATAAAGAGTGATAGTACTGCTGAAACAGAGGTGTCTTTACTGCGTCGGCTCTCCAAGACCTAAGTTAACTCAAGGGCGTGTTCCACGTCTCTGCTACACTTGATCTAATCTAACAGCGCTGATTCGATACCGAGGTGAGGAACAACAGACTCCCTTCGCTGCTTTAACAATCTCAAGTTTAGATTAAGTTTAGATTCAGAATTAAATGAAGACAGCACAGACGAGGCACAGGCTCCAGGTCAGGATGGAACCCTGGAACCCCAAAACGAGGCCGACAGCCCAAGCAGCCCACGTGGTCTCTAGCTCCGAGGCTTTTAGCCGATTGGGTATCGCGAAGGCGAAGGTCCTATTTCCCCTGAATTTTTACCGATTATTTCCTTTTGAAGTCCTTTAAAGTAACTTATAAGATGCGAGCGAGGATACACCGAACAATTCGTAAGGGTACCCTGACTCTTTGGCGAAGTCCTCGACAAGAAATGCTCGATATGGCCCCTACTATTAAAAAGAAACCGCAGCCAAAATGACGAGGACTGCTGAAAATCCCTGTGCAAAATCCATGTAGATTCTTATGCCGATGTTCTTGGAAACTCCTTCCCGAAACGTTCTCTCGATCGCTCGATCGAAGAGATGCAATTAGACACCAGACTTTAGAAAATTGGAAAAATTAGTGGGATCAACCAAAAATGGGATGCGTGGAAAGTGACCTTTTATTTTGCCCACCTTGCAGTGGCTGCTCTTGGTTCATGCTGTAGGGTAGGTCAGTGACATAGCCAGGGAAGGGGGGTGTCCTGGCTCCCACCCTCCTTTCCCCCTAACTTACGTAAGGTTTTTCAGGCCCTCATAGGATTTCATTGGCCCTCCGAAAAAATGAGACACTCGCTACACTTCTGGGTTGGAAGCCCAGGATGCCAAGAAAATATAGGTATGACGGAAACCCGGAAAAAATTTTTTTGCGTTCGTCTTGAACGAAATGGAGCGTTCTGATTGCAGTGAAGTGTAGAGGGCACCTTCAGCGTATCTTATTGCATTATTGTTCGTCGAGTCGTGAGCTTCTGGAGTGGGATATGTTTATTCCCTTCTTTCCTGCAACTGTTATTGTTCTGAATTGCTTATTATTTAATTAAATTTTATTAAAGGTGTCAGTATTGCTCTTATTCATAAAAAAATAGAAGTTAGTTAGACTGGCATTTACGAATAATTTTAACTCTATCTACTGGCCATTGGTTCGGTTCCGGACCAATTGTCCCTGAATCGTCCCTCTCTGCACCTTTCATTTCTCAAGTTTTCGTTCCAGACCTTACGGAAAGCACAAGTTTTCGCCCCGTCTTTTTTTGTGCGCAAAATTTGGAGATCTGGCGTGGGCCTTCCGTTCGCGAGAATTTTCGCCTCTTTTCATCACTTCTTGAAGAAAAACTAAGTTCTACGTCAGCAATGATATCATCCGTTTCTATCATTTTGCGTTTGCGAAGCCTATAATACGGTACAAATAAGACTTGATCACCGCTTTCACACTTCACTTGATCACACGTAATATGATAGAAAACGTATACGAGCCAATGAGTTTTTGCTTAATATATTCTAGTATTAACATTTTTCCTATCACATTCAGACATGCATTGTTATACATTGTAAGATATAACTATATCAATGCAATACTGAAAAATATTAACAGTCACAGATATGATTGGTTAGGGAAATCGTGACCTCAACTACACAAACCCCATTGCAATAAATCACTGCCAGGGGGAAGCCCGGGGGAAAATAAAATAAAAATAAATAAAAAAGAAAATAAAAATTTTGGAGGAAAGAGATCTGAAGGAGTAAAAGACCCAAGCGAGCCGTGGTGCCGATAAAACAGGTGAACGAGACTGAAAAACTAGCTTTGCAGGATTCTTTCATCGGAGTGGAAGAATATCTGGCAATGCTGCATAGATTTGGCAACATAGCACTCAAGCCTCTTCTCTCCGGTTTGAGTCTCGTTTCGTTCACTATGCTGCGAGACTCCCCTTGCCTGCTCAACTTTTCCATCCCGCTCCCAGCGAATAGAAGCAGGTTAGGCCAGAAAGAGGCTGGCTTAGGTTGGAACTCGTTTCCAGTACTTCACCAAGTTTACTGACTCACGAGGAAGCCCAAATATCATTCTGACTGGAGGCATTTCGAAGCGTTGTCATATAGAAGATGAAGTAAAAATTACTTAAATTCACGGTACCCTTCGGTGCTCTCTCGTCTGGTCCAAAATTAGGCCCGGCCAAACATGCCTACCCCGACGAGCCGTCACTGCCACCGCCACCTTGTACATTCATTGCAATTAGCCTAACAAACGAATAGAGAATCAATTTAAAAATATACATACTTTTCTTTTTTAGGCCAGAGTCCAAAATCATCCTGGAACTAAACCATGAACGATTGCTGCCAATCACGATGGAGTAGGTTCTTCATTGAAAAGTGGACATAGGTCTAATCTGAGATAGTGAATTAGATAATGTCCCAACCTTGAGCTAGTCGATCAGACAGCCGACAGAGGTGCTTCGCCTATCATTAGACCTTACCTCATGCGATTTCGACGATCTCAGGTTCTCATCTTTCACGAATGTCCACATTTTCTGTCTTGAGGTGTCTGAAGGGATGCCAAATAACCACGGAAACGCAGCATAACAATGTCACAAGAATTCTCACGGGAAAAACGCACACCGAACAGAACGAAACCTCCCCGCCTCCACGCCATATTGAAAGCCAAGCCACATCACGTGACCGCCCTCGTCCAATCAGCAGCTCCCGAAGGCAGCAGCTTCAGATCTCGCTCTCCCCTGCATTGCACTCCGCACTCGCCTTGCGAAAGGGTTGAGGGCAAGACTAGGAGCCTTAGACGTTATATAATCATTTATGCAGTGTTACGGGATTGACTTCAACCCCCTAACCCCTCTCTGTGGCGTTGTTTCCTGCAGTGACGTGAGAGACGTCTTTACCATCATTACTAATGACTAAGTCGTAAGATCCGTTTTAAGTACGGCAGATGCGCTGCCTGCTTAAACTGAAAGTGAGGTTAGCATAATACACAAATCTGAAACGTTGATGGAATTCATATAGACTCGGGCCAAAACTGTACCATCTGGTACCACTGGTCATTAAATAACAAGTAACGAAAAATGTGCTTCCCAGTAAAAAATTCCGACTGGATCCAGTATGGGTTTTGACTGGAATAAAGTGGATTTAGCCGGTCTTCCTTACCAGCTGAGAAGCTGGAATGGGGGTGCAGTAACTTTCCTGTTATTCAAAGAGAATAGACAGGGAGGGACTCTGTGAAAATTTGAAGAAGTTAGCAATTGTTTTGACGCTAAATTGCAGGAAGCACAGTATTTTGTATATAATTTAGAGGCTTTGAAGACCAAAGGCTCCAGGTTGGCTTGCAATTAATATCAACTGCAAGCAATATTGCCCTGCCATCATTGATGCCATGTAGAACGGATGGGTCGATCCAATGTCCCTCAGTTTCACTTGAAAATGAAGTTCTTATTTACGCCACTAGGTGGCAGCATGGTTCTCGCTTTCCAGACAGTACCCAAAAGTACCCTTCCTCCCTTCTCTAGATGCGTCCTTCACAGAAGTTCATAGTACCTCAACATATATATTGTCATGTCTCATAAAGGCAATCAATCGAAGCCGTCCTTAATTTAATTATTACCTCCATATTCGATATAGATTCATGGAGTTCAGGAATTAATCAAGCTAATTGCCTATAAGAATCCATGTCTGTGTCAATGTGCTATCATTTACTTGAATCCCCAGAACTCTGGCACGTTGTTCAAGTAAACTGCGAACTCAAGCATTTCCATCTTGTTAGAACAAGGACGAGACTAATGGTTTGAGTACGCCTTTTGTGGCAAGAGAGTGGCGCATCACCTCAGGTGTACCAATTTTGGTACACTAGAGGTTATGACTTAACTTATTTCCAAGCTGGATCGTGCGGTCCTCCAGCTAAGACCATCTCCAATTTCAGTCTGGATCAAGTACTTTACCAGCTAAATCACAACAGTTTCCACATGGAAACCAGCTGTTACCATCTGGGAACCATCTGGAAAAGGTCCAAATTAACAGGTCTAAAAAATCCAGCTGGAATTTTTTGACTGGGTTGTAAAGGTACGAATGAACTTGTCTCTCTCTCTCGGTTGATGGGTCACGACTTCATTATGAGATCGGGACATTCTCTAGGATATTTTTTATGAGTGCAAGAAAAACATGACTGCATTGTTATTCTCTTATCGTACCACATGATTTATCTAACATATATTTTTTGCGAATATGCAGGTTATGTGAGGATTCATCCATGTAAATGAAATCTGTTCCCTCTGCCACTTCCTTCATTTTATGTTCGACGACATACCAATAACTGAAAATTGATTAATAACGATAATATCAGGATTTTTCAAATGTCAGCCCTGGACAAACTATAATTGTCTCTTTAGTAAAAAATGTTTCGTATTTTTATAGCAGGAAAAACATTTGAACCACGCCGTTGCACCCACCCTCTTGCACTGCCGGTTTCTTCCGGGAAGAATAAATCTGATCCGAAACTTTCATCGTGACCTTATATCTCATTACTATGTCATTTACAGTAACCAGCTCAATGTGGGTCACATCCTTGAAGGGTCCTGTGAGATCTTCCATGAGCCTGTAAGGAGTTACGATGAAGTTGACGACTCTATTAGGCCCTTTTGCTTGAAACGACATCTGCTGAAAGTGATAGGACTAATTTGTCAAGCCGCCAATAGTGTCCATAGAAAAGTATGGAGCCCATGTTAATGGGGTGTCGCGGGGGTAAGGCAGGTGAGGGGATGGGCGGATCTAGTGAGTACCAGAGAATACTTTGTTTTGCAAGGTCGACATGGGTGGTTCCTGGGTTCGATGATTGTTTCAAATTCCGATATGACTTGTTTTTCATTCAAGTTATAACTAAATCCCGATTTCGAATTCCGAGTCCAGTCCCGATTATTAAATGTATTTTTGGTACAAGCCTCAGATTCACATCCTGATGAAATTTCCTTTTTGCTTACGTCGACGGGACGACCCCAGTCGACAAGGTGACTTCAAGATGATCGGTGAAAAAGCAGAATCGCAGCATAGCTGAAATCCGATTTGACGACTCCATCGGGTCATTCGATGAGTCACGGGGGATGTCACGGGAGTCGTAGAGTCGATACCTGTGAGACATGAAGCGCGGGCTAGTCGCCTGCCTTCTGCTTCAGCTCTTCTCCCTTCGGAATTCGTTGGAGGCTCGGATTCATCGCGAGGGAGAGGGAGGCAAGAAAATCCTCTGGGCGGTCATGGTCCATGGCGGTGAGGAAGCTTTCTTCTATTCTCTGTGGGGAAGGTGGGGATAGAAACTAAGTGATGTTATGGAGGTGCCATGCTGGGGATCTTTGGTGTAGTGCGTCATGGTGTCGCTATGCCGAAGTTCGTCGAACCTATCTCCTGAAGCTTCGGCAAAGGGGAGGGTCCAGTATATATTCCTGATTGAGTAATTGTGTCTACTTCCTCTGGTGTAAGATATTAATGGATTTATGGATAATTCAACGCTTTCATTGGTTACTGTAAAGATGGCATTAACGTTTCGAATGCTGGCATTGCAACCAGTGCCGTACCTAGGATATTTGGCGCCCTAGATATAAATCCAGTGGCCCCCCCCCCCCTCTATACCTCTCCAGCTTCCCCAGCACCAACAATGCATTACGTATTAAATTCTGTACTTAATTTAGTTAAATTCAGGATAATTTGAAAATTTTTAAGTTTTTATAATATACATGGTGTCCCAAAAGTCACTATTCCATTTCAGACTGCAATATTTTCCAAATTGCAACAAGCAGAACACTGTCGTCAGTATTGATATGAAGAAAGTTCTTTCTAATTTTTTTTTTTTACTAGAGTGACTTTGAATTAGACTTGTAGCGCCCGCCAGACTCAAACGGGAATATCTTCAAATGTACAGGGTGTCCACAAAGTCGCGCATCATAGATAAATAGTCTATTTAATTTACTTAATTTTATTTATTAAATTTTAGTTTTCATTCGGCCCAGATACGTTGAGCAACATTTTCCTGTTTTTCCGTTTACAACATGTTTCAGATTGGTGGGACATATTTCGAACAATTCATGTAACCATCCTTTCAAATGAATGTTGTCTTCCCTATGATTCGCGACTTTGTTGACACACTGTATATTAGGAAGGTGTACATATTTAGGGAAATTGTTGGTATATTATGTTGAATCCTCTTATACAAATTTGCTAAACTTTGTTTCTTTTTTCTCCTAACTTCGGAAAGACTTACGAAATAGAAAAGAAATTGTTTAATTTTATTTGCATTTGCTGTCGTGAGGAAAGGATTCGCAATTGATGCTGGAGCAACAAAGAAAAGTTGCAACCTTGATGGAGGTGCTTGAGAGTCCCATCATAGTTAATGGGGAGGTTCGGCGCTTTTTTCATGCCGAGACTCGTGCCAAATGCATTGACATGGACAAAGTGGAGTTTGAGCCACTATCATACCACATAATACCCCCATTTTAGAAAAAAATATATAAATGACATGCACTTGTTCAATTGATGTTACTGCCTTTTTGTGTGAACTGTTTAATAGATGTGATTCTTTAAAAATGGTATGGTGACTTATTGGACACCCTGTATTGTAATGATTTGGCAGCCAATCGGCACCCTATCAAGTCGGCGGCCTGTGCGGGCGCACGGCTCCCACCCCTCGGTACGGCTCTGAATGCAACCAATATATTAATTATATTAACCACTAAGAATCGTCTTCGGTTACTTGAAAACTGATCTCAGGATGTGGAATCATTTCCTCAAGTTTCTGAATCTATTCTTCCCCGAATGTTTCAGGAGCTCACGTGATCGTAGGAAAAAAGATCGCAGAAAAGCTGGAAGAAAAGGGACACAAGGTCACGCTGCTGGTATACGATTCCGACAAGGTCGACACGACGAGCCTGCAAAGATACATCCAAGTCCGGGGAAGGAACGACGACGGTAGCATATGGTTGGCCGACAAGAATGGAAAATTCCTTCATGACTACGCGGCAATCTGGAGTGATCATAAAATAGAATTTCAGACCAGCATTCTACTTTTCCTGCAAACGCCAGAATTCATGTGCCGAGCCGTCCTTGACAATCCGAAAGTAATTGAACGGATCTCCCGAGAGAAATTCGACTTTGCCATCGTGGATTACACGAGCAACGGATGCATCTATGCCCTCATGCACCATTTCAACATTCCATATGCCAGCGTGATTTTATCCAAGGGATTCGACCAAACTGTGTTTCCTCAAAATCCGGCCACAGTCGGCGTCCTGTTATCCAGATTAAATGAACCCAGCAATGTGTTCGAAAGGGCATTCAATCTCGTTGCTTTCGTCATATCCAGACTCGGAACTGAAATACATCATTGGGTGAGTTCTTTCCATATTTGGAGACGAATTCCGGACTCCCCTTCGTTGGGACAACTAATCGACAACAGTGAGCACATATTCATCCTACACGATTACTTTGTGGACGAGACGAAACGATTCCCCGCTGATGTTTCTTTGGTCGGCTGCTACACGTGTCGCCCTCCAAAACCACTAGAGACAGATCTCCAAACGTTCATGGATGAGGCCAAGAGTGTCGTGATAATCTCTTTCGGGTATTCCTACACAAAATCTGGAATTTTCCCAGATAGGCTCTGGAATGGGATCATCGGTATGGCAAGGAATCTTTCTGATCGAGGTGTCAAAGTCTTGATGACTTTCCCGGGGGAATTTGGCGAATGTCCAGGAAACATGAGAGTTGAGTCGTGGCTCTCCATGATGGATGTCTTGGGACATCCCAAGACTCGTGTGTTCATCAGTCAATGTGGAGGAGGGAGCGTGATGGAGTCCCTATATAATGGAGTTCCCATCGTCGGGATTCCCCTGTTCGGCGACCATTTCGAGATGTGTTCTCTTTTGCGAAGACGAGGTCTCGGGCACACGTTGAACAAGGCGAACGTGGATGCCCACATTCTCTCCGAGATGATTGTGAATATCCTGAAAGACCGTGACTTGGAAAATCGTGTAAAAAATGTTTCCTCCTTCATGAAGGACATCTCCACCATTTCCTTCCAGAAAATCGCAGAACGCATCGACCACATCGCTCATCATAACAGTCATACTGATGGCTTTCGGCTGCATACATTAAGCTACCACGTTTGGGAAGTGTATATGGTAGACCAAATTCTATTTTTCTTATTCCTTGGATTTATTTTGAAAAAATTGCTCTTGATGTATCGGAAAAAACCCGTTCCTAGGATTCCTAGGAATGATACCAAATAAAATCCTGAGAAAGAAGAGTTGTTTATCTGATGAGAGAGTCATGGGTACCGCTTCCTTGTGTGAGGTTGAATGAAAGTCAGACTTTGGAAAAAAATAACCTTCATTTGGTGACAACTCCTGAAATGGGCCTGTCCACGCCAAGTGGTTGGAAAATTTTTTAGCCGGAAATTTTCATAAATATGCAAATTTCACTTTCGCTACAGAAATTCATTATCACTTTCCTTAGAAGATATTAGTGAAAGAGAATATTTCATTGAAAAATGAGCGAATTGGACATAATTATTATATATTTTCCATACAAGTCTCATGATACTAAAAAATGTGATGAAAATGCACATCTGGAGAGACTGAATTTGACTGCTGGAAGCCATGCCAGCATTGACATACTGATAATTTCAAATTAGTTCAGGTGTGAAGAGAAGATGTCAATTGTTCACATTTGAATGATATCTTTAAAATAAAATTAATATATATGTACAGACTTTTCGTTTCAAAATACATTTTTAGAACATGTCACATCCAACACCGTCACAGAGTTCTCATCTTGGGGTGACTTACACAAATTCCAGGCGTTCATTCCATCTATAGAATGGACATGAAACTAAATTATTAGGATCCGCTCGATGACAGATATGTGAACATTAGTGTAATTGACGTAAACTTGAGGTTCACGAAATGTCACTTCCTTTCTTTGCACATAGGTACACCTCTAACATGAGTTAGAGTGCAAGACTTTGGATTATGGAATTTTCAGTCACCACCCAAAGCAAATTGTAACAGAATTTATATGCTGATTTGTCAGCCATAATATAGTTAAATACATGTTGTATACTAAAAATATTACTCCGGATGTCACATACGACCCCGTGAACAGACCAAATTAGCGAAGTTGTTCAGAGGCTATTAGGCGAAAATTAATTTTCCGTCATAGTCTTACTGTTGTTTCTATGTGGGTTTATCCACATCATATCAACAGAAAAAAAGTTCTACGAATCGACACGAGTTGGCGCCTAACCTCCGATTCTTATCCTTCTGCCCTGAAATAAGCAGTACCCCGTATTTTTCAGACAGCACCCGAACTCTTCCCATGTGCAACATAAGGAAAGGCTTGGGAATTTCTAGATATACCTGTTCAAGGCGGTAACATTGTGGAAGGAGACTCTAAGCACTTCTGGCCTGTGGGTCCCAGGAAATATGTTCAATTTTCCTATAACTCCACATGGCACATGCACTTACTGGGGCTCTTCCATAGAAGAAAACTTCCATGAAAACATTCCCTTGGAGTTGTTTCCCTCTACTAGACAGGGAGTTGAGTCATGTGAGTACTCAATTCGTAATTCTGATCCAGTAAAAGGAATAAAACAGCGAGGGTCCTTCTTCATTAATCGCTTCGTGATTCGCCCGTCTTTGATGCCGGCGACGTTGTCCTTCCCAAAAGTGACGCCCGCATGAGACACGAGCGATTCGTGTTCCGTCATTTCGGACTAGCTAGAGCGAAGCAAGTCGTGTATTGACGAGGTAAACCTCTTGGCAAGTCCTTGTAAGCAAGGACTTGCTAGCAAGAACTTGCCTTGCGTATCGGGGCCTTAAGGGATAGCATATCAGTCTCACACCAGAAAAATCCTACCTGCGAGAGAAAGCCCAGGCCCACAGTAGTTGAGAGTTCTCTCGCGAGAGAATGTTCCGACTCAAAGTAATACCATCGTCACAGAGAGGTCTTCCCTGCATCGTCGCAGCAGCCTCCTTCTCCTCCTTGCCTTAGTTAAACCAGGTTTAGACACTGGGCGACATGCACCAGATTCATTTAACTTTAAACCGATTCGTTTTTATAATGGGCGTCTATGGGAATAAGTTTATCTCGGTTAAACGGATTCCCATAGGGGACCATTTTGAGATCAGATTAGTTTAGCTTAAACGGATTCGGTGCATGTCACCCACAATCAAGCTTTACAACCCCAAAATGACATCAACACCCCGAGATGTCCACGGGCTTCCTCACACCGAGGGTATTCGAGCTTGGATCTCGTCTCGTGCAGTGAAGGCAGAAGCCTTATTTTCATCAAACCATTCTCAATTGGTGAGGGTCTTCTTCTGTCGTGGTGTGTTCTGGCTTTCCCTTCAAGCGCTGGATAGTTATGATTTTTCAATGCTGCACTATAGTAGAGGGTGGGTGGTGGACAAAAACAAGGCCCATTTCTTTTTTTCTCATCTTCAATAGCAGTTTCCATGACACATTGAATTTTGATAGGGCGACAATGACGAATGGAAGCTGGGAAAATAATTAATCCACACCCCAGGAATCCATGATATCTGAGACTGAGGAGGCTGTCATGATGAAATTCATGCACAATGAGGACAAATGTTTTAAAATATTTCTCAAATAGGCAAGAGCTTTCATCGAAAACTAGTGGCTAGGCTATCACACAAGGTCTACAAACTAAAGGCCACGGGGGTATAGTGGGGGATGACTACTTTCAGCATCATGAAGACATTGAAAACGTAAAAATTTCCTTTCAAGGGACTCACTGGCATTTTAAATTAATAAATGATAGCCCAAAACAAAATATCACAGATTGTTACAGTTGAAATACGATACCTAGTTCCTGTTTATGTCAGCAAATTAATAAAATTTGCATTGTGTAGAAACTGGACACCGAATATGACTCCATTGTTAAATGATTCATTTTACAAGGTTGATGCACAGAAAAGCGCACTCACATGAATCCAAGCATTTTTGGAATGCCGTTTTCAATACTCCAAAAGCACCGGAATTCAGTTCTTGCATATTATCAGCATAAGCGTAGCGAGGATAGAAAAAGTGGCGGGGAGGCACAGGACAAAGTGATGGCACGGGAGCTCTGAGATACTGTTATGCATTTCTACAGATGTAGATATAAGTATGTAGATCTTATGTAGAGCTTTTCCTTCTTTTTTTTTAGCTTCTTTCCTTTAAAAAGGGGGGGGGGGCGCGTATCCCCTTGCCCCACGACGCTGCATTGCTGACAATAAGCATAATATTGGGGAATATCAGCGACATCACGTTTCTTTTGAAATTCAGCTTTTTTCCCACATTTTCCCCATCATCTGAACCACTGCGCTGGAGTGCATTGTGCATCATTAGAGCTCACCTCACGTGATTTCCAAGCCTCAAGTATTCCTTCTTCATGAATGACTCCGTCTGCTGAAGTGCCAGCAGCGAAAGTAGCCGCCTCATACCGCTGAATCACGCAGCTACGTAGCCCAAGGAGGTGACAAAGTTCAGGAACGCTCGCAGAAGAAACTCACACTGAACAGAACGAAACCCAGCCTCCTCACCGCAAGATTGGAAGACATCGTGGAGACATCACGTGACCAGCCTCGTCCAATCAGCCGCTCCGGCAAGCAGCAGGTTCAGACTCGCTCCCTTCCTCCCTCCGCACTCCACTCATGAGCTGGGGGCGATAGAAGACGAGACTGGCGCTCAAATTCTGTCCGGCCGAAACGCAACGCACAATTCCTCATTTAATAATTTGCCAGGAGTACCAAGCGTCAGCTTCGCATTGCTCCATCGTCATCTTAAGCCCCAAAACCCTCGCTATGTTCCTGTGACTCGTCCTGGTCGCCTTCGTACTGGGCCTCCGGAGTCAGACAGCACAGAAATGGTGGCAGGTGAGAAGAGACTGCATCGTGTATTCCTCACGTTTCTGCATTTTGGATTAGTCTTAAAAAATATTCATTTCCATTTGTGGCGGTGCTGGACCAGATGTGACCTAATACAAGAGAAGTTTAAATTTAATTGTTACCAGGGTCGCTCGAACACAGGCTTCCAGAGCAGGGGCATGTTCCTCGCCTCTGCTAAACTTAAATCTAAATCTAAATCTAAAAGCAGTCTAAAGCAAAAAATCTATTCTTCGCCCTGACCCTTTAGACTAAGATTTAGCCTAAGATTTAGATTTAGATTTAGATTTAGATTAGATTTAAGTTTAGCAGAGGCGAGGAACTGGCTCATGCAATACGATATGGAGATATTTGATGGAAAATGGTATGATATGATTTTTAGAACTGTTCATTCCAAGCGCATCTCTCTGAATCACGATTTTTGTGCTCCCAAGGGAAACGACCATTCATCGAGGAATGAATGGTATGGTAACTCTAACTGACGAAGCCAGGAAGCAGGAAGTAATGCAGCAATCCACAGATGACGGTCACGTTTCACTGGGTGGTAGGTCGGGCTGCATCGTCTGCATCAAAGGAAAAAGACACTGATAAGCGGATGAAATTGACGATGAAATGTTACGAAAAAAGGGAATCCAGGTTTCCAGATTATGAATTACGATGAACGTGATTTTATGACGTTGGGCCTCTTCTGCAATCGCTGAGTCCACCGATATCGCTTAAGATGGAGGCAGTTCGTAGAACTTCCAATGCATATAATTTTTCCCGGTTCCTCAGAAACGATGGGAGTGAGGACACCAAAGCCAACACCAAGGACACCCTCGGTTCTAAAGGGTTGGTGGGGGCAGAGCCATACCAAGGATATTCGGCGTCATGTGCGAGATTCCCCCCCCCCCTACACCTCTTCAGCTTCCCCAGCACCAATAATACATGACTTACTAATTCGTTAAATTCAGGATTATTTGCAATTTAGAAAAATGCTGTATTCTTATTTTGTAACGCCTTTGGCAGCCAATCGGCACCCTGCGCGGACGCACTGCTCGCAGCGGCCTCGGTACAGCTCTGGGAGAGGGACACCCTTCGCGACTGCGAGCAGCACTGGGTCGTCTGCATTCGCCTGCTGCAGGTGCCAGGGGGAGAGGCAGGTGAGAGGATTGGCGGATCTGGTGAGTACCAGAGAGTACTTCGTTTTACAAGGTCGACATGGGCGGTTCCTGGGTTCGATCACCCCGAGTTCCAAATTTCGACGTGACTTCCTTTTCATTTAAGCCATACATCAATCCGAATTCCTAATTCCCTCCCAATTATTATATGTATTTTTGGTGCGAGCGTCGAATTCGCATCCTGATGAAATTTATTTTCGCTTACGTCGACGGGACGATCCCGATCGACAAGGAAACTTCAAGATGATCGGTGAAAAGGCAGAATAGCTGCATAGCTGAAATCCAATTTGACGACTCCATCGAGCCATTCGATGAGTCACGACAGATATCAAGGGAGTCTTTGAGTCGATGTGAGACATGAAGAAGCGCGGGCTAGTCGCCTGCCTTCTACTTCAGCTCTTCTCCCTTCGGAATTCGTTGGAGGCTCGAATTCATCGCGAGGGAGAGGGAGGCAAGAAAATCCTCTGGGCGGTCATGGTCCATGGCGGTGAGAACGCTTTTTTCTATTCTCTGTGGGGAGGGTGGGGATAGAAACTAAGTGATGTTATGGAGGTGCCATGCTGGCACTTTTCTTTCGTGCGGTGCGTCATGATGTCTCGACACCGAAACTCGTGCGACCTGTCTCTAGAAGATTCTTTTCTATTCGACAAGCTGTCCAGTCCAGATGAGACTCAGCAAAGGGGGAAGGGTTCAGTACCAATTCCTGATGGAGAAATTGCGTCCACATCCTCCGTTGTAAAACATTATAGGATTTGTGGGTAATTCAACGCTTCCATTACTTACAATGAAGGTAGCGATAACGAATGCTGGCATTGCAAACAGTGTCGTACCGACGATATTTGGCGCCCTATGCTAGATATCAATCCAGCGCCCCCCTCTCTATACCTCTCCAGCTTTCCCAGCACCAACAATAGATTATTAACTAATTTCAGTGTACTAATTTAATTTAGTTAAATTCAGATCATTTCCAATTCTTAAAAGGCTTTATTCATGTTTCTTTTTTTTTTTTAGTAATTTGGCAGCCAATCAGCGCTCCCTCAAGTCAGTGAACTGGGCGAACGCACCGCTCGCACCCCCTCGGTACGGCTCTGAATGCAAGTAATATTTTAATGATTTTAATCATCAATAATAATATTTGGTAGTTGAAAATTGATCTCAGGTTGATGGAATCACTCCCTCGAGGTTTTTTTTTTTTTAGCGTGAATCTAATACTGTGCTGATTATGAAATTTATCGTTCCTCAAATTTCCTCCAAATGTTTCAGGAGCTCACGTGATCGTAGCAAAACAAATCGCGGAAAAGCTGGAAGAAAAAGGACACAATGTCACGCTGCTGGTCTACGATTCCGACAAGGTCAACACGACAAGCCTGCAAAGATACATAGGAGTCAGAGGAAGAAACGACGACGGCAGCCTGTTGTTAGCCGACGAGACCGGCAAATTCATCTATCCCTACGCTGCAATATGGAGCGAATCCAAGCTGGAAATTTACAACAGTCTCCTTCTCTTCCTCCACACGCCGGAATTCATGTGCCGAGCCGTCCTGGACGATCCGAACGTGATCGAACGGATCTCTCGAGAGAAATTCGACCTGGCCATCGTGGATTACACGAGCAACGCATGCATCTATGCCCTCATGCATCGACTGAACATTCCTTATGTCAGCGTGTTTTTATCCAAGGGATTCGACCAGACTGCGTTTTCTCAAAATCCGGCCACAGTCGGCGTCCTGCTGTCTAGACTAAGTGAACCCAGTAACATGTTCGAAAGGGCGTTCAATCTCGCTGCTTTCATCGTATCTAGACTCGGAACTGAAATATATCATTGGGTGGGTTCTTTCCATATTTGGAGACGATTTCCCGACTCCCCTTCGTTGGGACAACTAATCGACAACAGTGAGCACATATTCATCCTACACGATTACTTTGTGGACGAGACGAAACGATTCCCCGATGATGTTTCTTTGGTCGGCTGCTACACGTGTCGTCCTCCAAAACCTCTCGAGACAGATCTCCAAACGTTCATGGATGAGGCCAAGAGTGTCGTGATAATCTCTTTTGGATATTCCTACACAAAACCTGGAATTTTCCCAGATAGGCTCTGGAATGGGATCATCGGTATGGCAAGGAATCTTTCTGATCGAGGTGTCAAAGTCTTGATGACTTTCCCGGGGGAATTTGGCGAACTTCCAGGAAACATGAGAGTTGAGCCGTGGCTCTCCATGATGGACGTCTTGGGACATCCCAAGACTCGTGTGTTCATCAGTCAATGTGGAGGAGGGAGCGTGATGGAGTCCCTATATAATGGAGTTCCCATCGTCGGGATTCCCCTGTTCGGCGACCATTTCGAGATGTGTTCTCTTTTGCGAAGACGAGGTCTCGGGCACACGTTGAACAAGGCGAACGTGGATGCCCACGTCCTCTCCAAGATGATTGTGAATATCCTGAAAGACCGTGACTTGGAAAATCGGGTAAAAAATGTTTCCTCCTTCATGAAGGACATCTCCATCATTTCCTTCCAGGAAATCGCAGAACGCATCGACCACATCGCTCATCATAACAGTCATACTGATGGCTTTCGGCTAGATGCAGTCAGTTACCACGTTTGGGAAGTGTATATGCTAGACCAACTTCTATTTTTCTTATTCCTTGGATTCATTTTGAAAATTTTCCTCTTAATATACCGGAAAAAACCTTTTCTTTGCTTTTCCAGGATTTCCAAGAGTGATCGCAAGTAAAATCTTGAGAGAGACGGGAATAGTTGATCTGATGAGAGATATCACATGGATATCGCTTGCTTGCAGTAGGTTTTTTGGAAGTTAGACTTAACATTAAATAACTTTTTATTGTGTATCCATTCCCGAGATCATAACCTTTCTTCTTCGAGTTAAGATAGGAAGGTACCAGTAGTACTGTTCCATTAGTAACTTTGGTGGGCGCTTATTTCAACCATGGCCTTTAAAAACAATGTGAAAGTGGGAAAGGGCATGTCTAATCTTGTTAGGTTTGTTACAGGAATGGATCGGTTTGTTTGGGTTTAACGTCAAGGAAGGTGAAAACCTCTCATGTAAAAAAAAAATTGGAAAAAGTTTAATCTTGGTTTTTAAAATAGCACTATCAATACAATGGTGCAATGGAGGGCCTCTTTGTTATGGAAATGCAACCAAGCATGGTTGTCTCTGGAAAGGGAGTTAGAGATGTTTCTAAATCCGTAAGCAAAGGAAGCTCTCCGTCTCGCATGAACAAGTTTTTTTGGTTTTGGACAAGTGCGGTAAAGAAAAAAATTTCTTGATATGAAGTGAACTCTTTAAATTATATAACTTCTCCCATAACAACGAGTAGAAATGGATTTAGGAGTTTTTCAGAAGGCTTTGAAAAGACGTGTATACTCAGAGGAATAAAGAAGTCGAAATGATATGTGTCAGTCGATTTTCGCATTTCGATTTATATTTTTTTAACTCAAAAGCGCAAAAACATTGAATTTAGATGCATATCAGTCTCTCCAGACATTTTCGGGTCGCTGGAAAGGCGTCTCCACAACCGAAACACGTCCATAGCCGAGTCGAGAGGGGGGGGGAGGGAAGCTTCCTGTGGCCTTGCTTCGTCGAGAGGCATGTCAACCTACGTCTTCCACTACATCGGCTCCCTCGGGGCAATGCATTTGTTGAAAGATTAAAACGCAAGCGCGAGAGATTGTATGGCCTGAGAGAGTGTATGGTTTGTGCGTTTGGGCCTTGGAATCTTCCTGGGCAAACACAATGAGCTTTGAAGGAATCCTTTGTGTCACTTATTTTCCCTTTCCCTTTCCTGCATGACAGCGAAATACTGGACTTCCTTCACTCATGGTGAGTATGCCATTCATTTCCATGCAGGAGGCTTGAGAATTCTGTGAGAATGTGAGAATTCTCGAGCTGGAAAACGTCCAGATCGGGGACTTCACTGCATCGTCTTCTCCTTTTAGATAAGACAGGTACAGTAAAAAATTCCAATGGGAGGGAGGGGGGGTTGTTATTAAAAATTGGTAACCATATATGGCATATATGGCCAAATTTGGGAATAGAACTAGTAAAATGTATCCCACTTTTCAACACCATTTTCGCTTCTTTCGATTTCCAATAGGGAAGCGAGAGACTTCCAAGATCGTTGATTGACGAACAACATACTCTTTACTAAGAATGCATGCATAGACATGGATACAGGAAATTTTATTCTTTCTCAAGGATGAGGCTTTTCTACAGAATGAAGGAGCCAAAGATAAAACTCGTACAATGTCCGCGAAAATTTTTCAGTGTGTTTTTCTCTTCTTTCCACTTCGTTACTAACGTCACGGAGAACCCAGCTTTTCGAGATCGGTCCTAAATAGCATGAAATAGTGTGCCTACGTTGCCTGAAGGTTGGCAAGGTTGCCTGAATGTGTCGGTGGACTGATAACGTCGGTCCAACGTTGACGGAAAGTGAGCAGGCGATGTAGGGTGCTTGTGTGCGGCCAAAATTTGGTCGATTCATTGTCGGCGAAGAGAGGATGTGCAAGATTGAGGGCATGAACTATGTCAACTTTGGTAAGATGTCAATGTCAATGTTGGTGAAAGGTCAGGTGGACGTGTGTGGTGTTGCTCTGGCCAACCAAGGTTGAGCCAAAATCGGCTAAATGGCGGCATTAGGTTTTACAACATGCAGTAGTGGTGACCAATCCTTCTTAACTTGATATTGTTTTAAATGTTCCACGAAAGCGAGTCTTTTAATGTTGTGACTATTAGCGAAAGAGAATCTCATTTATCACTAGACTCTGCTAGCATGAAGAAAAATCGATCGCTTAAGCTGTAAACAGAAAATAGTTCGTCCAAAAACCAGCTCCATCAACTCAAACTTTATAAAGATGTTCTGGAAAGTTAAAGTCCAGTGAACTACCGCGCGAAGTCGTTAGTGATGGACAAGGGAATTTCCCAGGCGGCATGGACGATCTGGATGTGCTGAATCTAAAATTCCTCCATATTCAAACCACAAACATTCCAAGTTGAATGGTATGTGGTTTGAATATGACTCGCTGAGTGTACCGTGCTACCTTTTTACGGATGAAGTGGGACCAGGAGATGGAGGCAGTGGAAATGGATCTACCTCGGTTTTAATGGATTCCGAGGCTTCATATGCCTGAACATCTCGGGATCTTCATCCATCCTGAAAGATTTAGTCTGGCAGTATTCCGTCCAAGAGGAAGTTTCTCCTCCACATGTTAATGAATAGGAGTAACGTAAACATTGATAACATGATGAAATACCTTGGGAAATCAACAAGTTCTAAGCCTGAGCCACTTCCAGTAACAATACACCTTTTCATGTTCGAAACGAGAATACAGATGTTTTTTATTGTGACAGGAAAATTTTCAACACGTTTCGATTAACCCTTTAAGCAGGGAATTTCTCAGACTGAAGCCTACCAGCGGGGTCAGAAATTATTTTTATGGGAATAACAATTCGTGTTTGTTGTAAAGAAAAAAATACCACTCTTTCTCGAGTTTATAGTCCCATTTCGAGTTTCGAACTCGTGTTTAACTCAAAACTCGAAAAATAATGGGACAGTAAAAAATGTCAAACCCCCCCAGAGAAGCATTTCACTATGGTGGATATATACTTCATACCTACTGATGGGGTTAAAGTTCGCTTCAGGGATTTTTTTTTCAATGTTCTGCCAAAGGGTCTCTTGAATGTGTATAAAAGTGACATGAACGCTGTGATCAGTTATCTATCTTTCATCAGCAAATTTGGTGAAATTTGCCAGTCACCATCACATGTCGTCTCATGGAAAAAGAAAAAAAGGTGTATTACAACTGGAAATGCCTCTGGCTTAGAACTTTTGGCTCACCCGACGTTTATTGATTTACCCGATATGGTAAGTTGACCTCACTAATAATACTCCTTCGGGGTTCGGTGGTCGAGTGGTTCTGGCTTCCGAGTGGCAACCCGGGAGGCGAGGGATCGAGTTCGTGTGGCGGTGGCTCTTCCTCTGCCGACAGACGACGCACCTGCTTTCCTGGGGAGTGTCTGCTTAGCGTGGGATAACACACACGCCACTCAGTGTGCCACGTCTAGGAGATACGGGTGTAGTTCACCTTAAAAATCATACGTGCCAGTCATGGGCTTAGGCAACCCGTGAGCCGCCCCTTTGGCCTCCTAAAGGACCGTGGAGGGGTGTCCCTAAAGGACTGTGATACAGATGCGGTGCCCGTGCCAAGCGTGCACCCTCTCTCTGTGTACTGTAAATGGTCCGTTGTCATTTGTGTATACCGCATGTCCTGTCTTAAAAAAAAAACTCCTCACATCCAATTGCACAATGTTGGTCAGATGTAGGAAAAGTGGGTGGAACGTTGGTACCAAATGTGCATCCAATGTCAATTCAACGTTACACCGACAGCATATTTACGCTGAGCCTTTGTTGACGCGCGTCGTTAGTCCTGCATATTCCAGATTGGCATGCTACTACCTTGGAGAAGTATAAGCCTAACACATTTTTGCAAACTGCGTAATCCTGTGGGAATGTGTGCATGCATTTTCAGGAACGTACTACATCAGAGAGACGGAAGTCTCTTTGGACTCTCTCTTGTACTTTGAAAACAGCAAAAAAACCAATATGGACGGGAGACGGGAAGGAGGGACGATCTCCAGGATGAAGGCAAAAGAGGAGAGAGCATATCCAATGAGGAGAACATAAAAAGCGCCTTGCATGTCCTGGGATGTGATGGGACGGAGTTTACGAGATCCTCCTGCACCTTGGTCCACATGGGAACTTGAGAACATGGCTTCTGAGATCAAATTCCCCTTCCAGTGGTCCACCAATCCGCCGGAGATCATCCGCCACATCCTGGTTTATATGAAAGGCGGGAACGAGTAACTGTCATTTATACGTTAATCTGTCGTCTGGCAGGATCGAAAAGGAATCCATTATTAAATTTGACACCTATTCCCTCACAAGATGCCCAAAATCAAAATGCTTGTGGGGTAAATTCTTTTGTTCCCCCATTTTAATCACTGAATTTGTCGTCGCTGGTAACAAAAACACATGAAATGCTGTATGAACCAATACCGTCTGGCTACGTTGAAAAGAAAAGCATATAATGCATTGGATCAGTGACGGCTAGTCAGGAGAGGCAAGGTAGGCCAGGCCTCCTCATGACTTTTAGGAGGCGCTTCCCCATATAATTAAAGTATCCATTACTGTACGATAGCAAATGACTGAAAGAAGTCTCTGATGATCCTTGGATTCATTCTCAACTGACACAAAATCAGCGAAGTCCGGTCTCAGACACTTTAATCCCGCGCTACACAGCAGTAAGCTCTGGGAGACTGACCTCACCGTCTGCATTGCGCATGAGGGTGCCTGCGTGGAAGAGCTACGACGACTTTAGCCTCTTGAGGACGGATGACGTTATTCAATACAAATTTTCCCTAACTGAAATACATTAATATAGTTACAGTTCCGCAAACTACTGAGTTTTTTCATCAACGATACAATAATATGCACATAGTAAGTATATACAATTAAAATCTAAAAAAATGTGCTTTTTCGGTCAAATTAATCCCCTCTGAGGGGCAATTTTGTCAAAATTAATCCCCTCCCCATGTGGTTAAGATCCTTTACCTCA